ATCTTTGGAAAGCAGGATTCGGAAGAGAAGAGGCTGGCAGAAAACAAAAGGGCCGTAAACAAATTGTGACCACAGAGACATTCTGTGTCCAGCAATTCTGAAATGACTTTCTGTGAATTTTAAGGTTGAGCAGATAAGTACATTGTAGATGAGGGCCACAACGTGTGTTGGAGAAGAGAGTTTTAAAATATGGAACAAGGGGGGCGGGGATTTAGCTCAGTGGTTCGGTGGCCTGCCTTGCAAGTGGAAGGATCCGAGTTTGATCCCCGGTACCAAAAAAAAAAATATATATATATATATGGAACAAGGAGAATGCTAAATGTTTGTCAGGATGGAGTTGGTTCTAGATACATAGGTAGCATGTGTGCATGTATTTCCTGGCTCTGTCTCTGATAAGACCTAGGAGGAATGACAAACCCCAGTAACGCAACACACCTGTGTCCAAACCTTCACTTCAAACAGCATTCTCCACTAAAAGGAGTCAGGACCCCATGGAAGAAAGATCAATTTCAAGGCAGGCAAAGTACAAGATGATTGTAAAACATTTGTTGTCCCAGAAATTAAGGATGTGCTCAAAGAATGTAGGGAATATTTTTTTTCTTTCTTTTTTTTCTCCATTGAGTTTATTGGTACTTTTTAAGTGCACAGTACAGTTACATTCATCATTGGGATCTTGTACCTTTACATGACAGGTCTTGGTTCTCATTTTTTCCCCATTCCCCTGCCCTCCCTTCACCCCCTTCCCTCTCACCTATTTACATAGACTTTGTTTCCATGTTTTCCTTTTCTCATATTTTTCTTACTTCTTTAAAAACACACACACACACACACACACACACACACACATTCTAGGAGGGTAAGAGAGGACTTGAGAGGCTCAAGCCCAGACTGGACCACTAGTGACCTAACAAAGCCTTGTCTCGTGGTAAAAGTTTTTAAAAGGCTGGAAATGTAGCTCGGTGATAAGGCCCTGGGTTCAATGCCCTCTACCCACGATGGCGAACCTTTTAGAGCTTGAAATGATAGAAAACAGCTCCCCGCAGCACTCATTGCCACAGGGTTGTCACCACTGCCCTACACTGGAAAAAATAAATAAATAGACAAGTCACTTGGGAGACAATCTGAGAATCTGAACAAATGTGAGTAGCAAGGATTACAGTCCACTGAAAAAAATAACAATCTAGGAATATAGCACAGTATTCTGTTATATATACTTACAAGGGGTGTAACGTTCAAATTTTCTTAAGCTATTACAATAAAAGACAGGTTGCTAAGGACATGGGGCACATGTGTTTGAAGGGAAGAGGAATATTTTTTGGGGGGGTTAATGACTCTTACATAATAATTTTTAAAATTTAACCATTCACCACATTTTATCGCATGTATTATTTATATAAATATTTATTGTTTATATGCAATTCATTTTGATGAATGTTTTATTATATTTTTATAGTAGATATGTACTAACATAAAGAAATTTTATATGTATCCTGACATAAAGAAAGGATAACACCCTTATAGTAGACTCCCAACTAGTAAATATAGAAGGAATGATGAAAGTCGGAAAATCGCTGTTGCAGCAGGAATCAGTCCAGCCAAGAATCATCTGTGGATGCTAAAACTAGTGGAAAAGCTCAGCGAGTAATTACAAATTCCAGCAACCTGGAGTGGGATGAACTCAGGCTCACAAATCCAAGGCACATCGTAGATCTTTCTCTCAGCTGCTCTCGGCTAATTGTGTATGCTCTGCTGCTACTAACAACAGCAGTCGTTCATAGAGATAAGCATGGTGGCAGGTGGGGTTTTGAGCTTTTGGTTTTAGCAAGTGCTAACTCAATGCCGATACTAACCCAGTGAACTTTTTCACGCGTATCTTCCTTTATAAGAGGAAAAAAGTTCACGATATGAGAAAGATGTCTCGGGTCAAAGACCTGATAAAGGGGCAGAGCCCAGATTCAAATTTTCTGTCTTCTGGCTCTGACGTTAGCACTGTTCTGTTACACAGCGTCTCCCCGGATCCTCCTCAAACTCTGTGCTTTCTGAAGTGCCGAATAATTATGCCACAGAATCATTCTTAAACAAAAGCACTATATTTACTGAACACCTAGCCTCATTTCCCTCACCTGCAAAGCAGAGACAGCAACACCGTCATGCGTCCTTTCACAGTGGGGTTACGTTCTGGGGACTGCAGTGTCAGTTTTGTCGGTGTAGGCATCCTGCTGTTTCACAAACTGAGATTTTGGAGGTCAGTCACCTGCGTGGCAGTCGACAAATGTGGCAGACACAGGATGTATGCAGCTGCTGCCAGCATAGGCTGTCCTACTGTTTTACAGTAAGCTTTTTTAACAAGTAGAATACTCTAAAATAATGATCAACAGTATGGTAAATCCATGAGCCAATAGCAATGCTGCCAGTTATCATTACCAAGTAGTTTGTCTGTATGTAATTGTATGTGTGTACTTTTATAAGACTGGCAGCGCAGTAATTTTGTTCACCCAAGCCTTGCCACATGCATGTGAGTCATCGGTTAAGGTATGACATTACGATAACCAGATAGTCACAGGGCCATAGGAATGTTCCAGCTCCGTTGTAATCTTATGGGGCCACTGGTGCATAGCGATGTGTTGTCAACCAAAATGCCATTAGGCAGTGCATAACTGTACTTACTGCACCTGTTGTGATGAGGATTCAATTAGATGGTTGTGTAAAACTTATGGGACAGCATAAGATGAGTGTGCACGAAGGGACAGTAGCCGTGGTAATAGCAGCTGTAATGTTGCAGTCCGGGATGTGATAAGAAATGTTTCTGAAGGACATCCTTTGCTTTTGGACTGAACTGATAATCAGGCACCAAAGCATCAAGAGCTCTGTGTATTGTGAAAGGAAGATTGTGTCTTATTCTATAAGCGATAGAAAGCACTGAAGAATTCTATTGCTAGAAGCGATGTGATCTGGTTGGCGATCTACAGAGCAGACCAAGGAGAGCAGAGAAAGACAAAGGCAGAGAGACCAGAAGGAGGCTGTCATCAGAGGCCAGGCAGGAGGTGATGAGGGTCTGAGTGGCGGAAAGGGCAGTGAAGGGCAAGGAGGGAGGACACAGTGGACGGCCCCAAAGCAGGCAGGAGAGGGCGGGGAGGAGCTTAGGCTGAGCCTCCGGGGAAATGACCACGGTGTGAAGGCGGTGCAGGCCGGGACAGGCCGTGGAGTTGCAGTACACAGTAGACTTATCCCAAGCTGCTGGAGGATCCGAAGATCCATATGTTGCGATCGAGATCAGGAGAGAGCCCAGTGCTGCAGAATCACTGAAGCTGCGGGGTGCGTGGGGTCCTCCAGGGAGACTGATAGAGTGAGGAGAGGGCTGAGGATGGGTTTTGGAAACACCAGAATTTTGAGATGGCGCAAGGAGAGGCCGGAGGAGGGGAGCACTCAAAAGGCAAGCAAGGTTCACGGTGTGAGTTTTCTGCCATGCCAGAGGCTGCAGCAGAGCAGACAAAGAAAGGAAGTGCTGAAAGGTGCCTGTGGGGCTTGGAACCAGTAACTCTAACAAGAGCAGGAGTGGAATAGGCAGATCCGTAATCTCAGATACTCAGGAGGCGTAGAGGGGAGGATTGCAACTTTGTGAGACTCTGACTCAAAACTTTTAAAGGGCTGGGGATGAGTACTGAGGAGCGCAGTGGGTACTGAGGAGTGGAATCCAGTCTGCTGGTGAAGGGAAAAACTGGAAATGATAAATGTTGAAAGGGAAAAAAAGGAGAAGAGAGAAATTAGTACCCAAACACTCGCAGTGAAGCAGGCATCACCCACTTCCCGTGCCCTCCCTCCTACTGTCCTCCCTTAAGAGTTAGCACCCCTCCAGCCGGGCGTGGTGGGGCACACCTGTAATCCCAGCACTTGGGATGCTGAGGCAGGAGAATCGCTGTGAGTTCAAGACCATCCTGGGCTACATAGTGAGACCCTGCCTCAAAAAAAACAAAAAAAAAGAGTTAGCACCTCTCTCCTTCCAGCATCTTCCTCAGCTCTAGTTCAACCCAGACCACACGCTTGTGCAGAGGGTTCTCCGCCTCCTCCTGTCCATGGTACCCCCAGCCAGCACTGCACCAGTGTGCCAGGCTCCCCAGCCTTCCCTTGCAGTTGGTCCCAAGGGTGGATTTTCTTTTATTCAAACTGGGCTTGGCCTTTACTAACACTGCAGCCTGTGTTTTCCTCCCTTTTAGGTTGATGGTTTCCAACCTTTTTAAAACATCACTAACCGGAATAAGTACACTCCTCATTATGACGAGTGTGCCCATCTATGCATAACTACAGGCTTAGTGTGGGAGATGTGGCTCCATTCCATTCTACTCCACTCTATTTTGTGTTTCTTAATGCTGGTCCTGACCACTACATTAATGCTATAACCCACGGGACTGGCTGAACTCCACAGTGCTAAGAGAGGATCAGAGGAGAATACGCTTGGTGTTTGTGTGGGTTCCTTCCTCTCTGGGCTCCTATTTCCCTCTAACCCCTTTTTTATGGCTTTGTCAGGGTTAGGAATTGCTTCAGTCACTAGGTGTTAGGCAGCCTTGGGGTTATTTGAATTTCCCAGCGGCCCAGCAGAGGAAGGAAGGAGGCCATAACGGTTCGGTGTAGAAATCTGTGGGACAGAATGGCTCAGCTTGTCAACCACTCCTCAGAGGCCACTGCTCCCACAGGGAGCTTTTCATTCCACAGCATGCCCCAGGTGTCCCTAACGACACTGCTTACTGAGATATTTGATCTTCCCCAGAGCTTACAAGTAAAACAAGGCACAGTTTGCCTCCAGGCTCTCATCCCTAGATAGACAACAGACTGGAGTTTGCCGGTCTGGCCTCCGCGCCCTCTTCAGAGCTCCCTGAAGAGAGATGGCTGCCTTGAAAACCACCAAAGTCTTGCGCTCTCTGGGTCTTTCCACACAGAACGTATGGGGGCTGGCTCTGTATTCTGACTTTCTCATTTACAGTGGCCTTTCTGCTTCTCCCTAGGAGAACCAGGATTCTGAATTTGCCTTGACTGCAGCAGGAGGATGTCCGAGAGGAGTAGCAGGGGCCTTCTCTCAGCTGCCCCAATGTGCCCACTGCTGCCATAGACCCGTTAGTCCCCAAGAAGTCTCCGGAAGGGCATATCCATTGCCCACCTGCAATGAGCCAGGCCGTGGGCCAGGCCTGGGCTTCACTCTGCTGAACAAAACTCCATCGCTGGCCTCAAGACGCTTACATCCAGTTTTAAAGATGAGTGAAGAACGATGGATTTCTCTCACGCCAGAAGAATTTGACCAACTCCAGAAATACTCGGAATGTAAGTAGATGGCTTGACAGAGGCGGGATGAGCGTCCTTCTTATCTACAAAGAGCAGAACAGAGCAGTATAATCATTGCAAAGCCACAGAGAACAAGGTCAGGCCTGACAGACTTCCAGAATTAATGTCTTTGACACAAAAATGCAATTACCTCTGAGCTCTAGAATTTGGAAAATGCACGGAAGAAAATAGAGCAGGTTAAAAATCCCAGGGAAACTCCGTGAGCATTCTCAAGCACTCCCCTCCCGTGCATACTGCTTTGAATGGTTCAATTCTACCTACATTTCCTCTAACTGTATTTCCTTTTCTTTCTAAGCTTGCCTTTTCCACCTGACATGGTATCTTAAGTATTGTCTCAGGTCGATCAAATCTCTCTATAGCATAATTTTGAAGGGCTGCAGGTTGCACAGTTACCATGCTGATTTTAACACAGCCTTGCATTTGGACACAAAGCCTTTTTCCAGAGACTGAACTCTCGTGTGTGTCTCGAGATCATTCTGGAAAGGCCTGAGCTTTCATTTGGGGCTTTGGTGTCTGATTCCTGTTGCTCAGGAACCATCTCAATGCCTGGAGTCATAGTAGTAAAGAGGTTCACACTTACACTGAGGGAACCAAAACATAGGGTCCAAATCTGAATGAAAAAAACTGTATTACAGTAAAAAGGACAAATTGCTGTTACTCTCTCTCAAAATTCCCTTGCTTCAAACGCTTATGTCATCATCTGTGCCCCTTCCTGAAGTGAGTCCTCTCTCCTGAGGGTCTTTGTGGCGCGTGATAAAGAACACAGTGAGGGCAGCTGCTGAGTGCCATCCAACAGAGAGCGGACTCAAAAACCTTCCACTGTGTCCACCTTCTTCACCAAATGTGCATCACGCAGCTTCTGGCTCTTCCCAAAGTCAGCATGGCCGTGAAAGGTAAAGACGGGAACTGATTCGGGACACGGAGGCAGCCTCAGCAGTGTTACTGAAGACGCTCCTGAACAGGACTTCCAGAACTGCTTCAGAAAGGGGCGGGAATTGAGACACGCAGGTTCGAAGGGAGAAGGGACATCTCAAGGGAGGTTAACGGCACTGTATCTCTAACAGTAAGAATATATTTTTTTAATTTAAGCCTTCGCTGTATTTTTTCAGCACACTGCTGTGCCCCGCAAAGGCTACTCCTGTTCCTGACTAATGACAGGAGTCTTCTGGGGCGGAGGCAGAAACCTGTCTGAGCACTGTGCCCTGAGCCTGCGGAGTGACCGTCACTTACCGCAGCATGGCGCTGCCTGTCTTCCGAGCTCTGTGTCTTGCAGGGTGCCCTCATCCTAATCACCTCTCCCTTCTGGTTACTATGCTGGCTCTGTGGTAAATCATACCAGGCCTCTGGTGCAGAGCTCGCCTGCCCCAAAGCCTCTGACTGCCCTCTGACTACCCCTGCCCCTCCCCCAAGGCCAGCAGCTCTTTCTGTACGGCATTGGTCAGGGACTCAAGGGACTGAGCCCAAATGCCACACTCTCTGCAGCTCTTGCTCTCTGTGCTGTGACAGCCCTGGGCCTCTCATCCTCTTCTGAGCAGCAGGAAGGTTAGACTAGGCCTCGTCACCCTGTAGTCCCATCTAGGGCTGGCTTCCTTTGCCTCCACACCTCCCAAGGCCAGCAGGATCCCCTAGCATCACTAGTCAGCCCCTTCCTGGTACTCTGGGCTGGTGCTCTCTTGTCCAACCTAGATGGGCCTAGAAAACCCCTGCAAGGTTCTGACAGGAAGCAAGGAATCACTCTCCAGGGCAAATACGATTCAATTCAACCTGCTCTTTAGGTCAGCAAAGTACCAGGTCCCGTCAGGGATGGAAAAGAAGCCCCAAGAAAAGGCCTACCTGAGAGGGATCAGAGTCTTGTTAGCAAGCAGGAAATGTGTTGGTGATGCAAGAGAACAACAGCTCCGAGGCAGAAGGAAATGGCCCTCATAGAGCTAAAGGGAGAGAATTATAGGACAGGTAAAACCGGTGCCAGCAGCTGTACGTGCCTTCAGCACAGCAGAAATGCACCATCTCAAAGCGCAGAGGTTAGAAGTCCCAACTTAGGCAGTTGGCAAGACAGGTTCTTCTGCAGGCTGTGGGGAAAGGGCCCATCCAGGCTATCTCCTCAGCTTGTACACAGACATACTCTCCTGAGTCTCTTCATAGGTGTTCTCCCTGCTTGCGTGTCTCTGGGTCCAAATTTCCGCTTTTGATAAGGACAAGTCATTGGATCAGATCTGCCCTACTCCTGTGTGACCTCATTTTACTGAATGAGTCTCCAGCAGCTCTATGTATGGTCTCATCTGGAGGTCCCAGGCATTGGGACTTTATCCTATGAATGTGGAGTCCACACCTGGATCCACAACAGGAGGGGAGTCAGCAGAGTGGACTTGAAGGTGGAAAGAGGTTCGAAATGTAGGTAATAGATGGTAAAGGAGACCATGGAGCCAAAACAGAGGGGCTGAGAGAGAAGGAGTGTGTGGAGGATGGAAATTGGCAGTCTGGGCTGGAGGGAAAGAATAAGCACAGGAGGATAAGGAGGGCGTGTAAGGAGATATGGAGAGAGTAGGACCCTTGGCCCTGCATGGCCAGGACCAAGGTGCAGGGTACAGAACTGGGAATCTGGAGGCTGTGTGCAGTGAGACCCGGACGGGGGAGCTGCCAGGGCAGGGAGTCGGGCAGAATACATTAGATGAAGCCCAGCCTGAGCTAAAGGACAAGGCCAGGATGGGGACTGTGGTAAGAATAAACACCAACCTGTGGGAGATTGCAGTAGGAGTGTCACTGGAACTTATGAAACAAAAGGAAGCCACCAAAGATATCTCTAGGACAGAAGGCCTGGAAAGTAGCAGCAGTAGGACACAGGGCTGGTGGAGATAGTCAGGGGTGCTGACTTTGAGATGGTGATGATTCCGCTTACATATTCATGTGTGCCAGTCTCCAGGGAACTGTGAGAAATGAAGTACAGTTCCCAGTGGGTCCAAGGCCTCTTGGGGGAGAGAGCAGGACTCAGGTGATGATGTCACAGCAGGCCGGGTGCTGAGAAATGGGGAGTGGGAGGTGGGGAAGTTGGAAGAAGAGTCAGAAAGCCGTGTGGGAGCTGGGCCCCAGGATCCTGCTTTCTAGGTGAGCTATCTGGTGTATAGAGAGGGGTGACACTACAGCTCTGACTTGGGGATCATGTGTGGAAATGACAGGGAAAGAAAACAAGAAACAAGAATGAGGTCAGAGATCCGGAATATTAGGGCTAAAAAGAAGAGGATGAAGAATGTGGCTTAAAGAGTGCCCTAAACTGGAGTTCAGGGAAGGAAAGTGAATACAGAGATCCAGGTGTGGGGCCTAGGCCCGTAACCCCGGCATTCTGGGAGGCCAAGGCAGGAGGGTCACAAGTTTGAGCTTAGCCTGGGCAACTTAGAGACTTCACAAGACTGTCTCAAAATTTTAAACTTGTTTTGAAAGGGCTAGAGGTGTAGCTCAGTGCAAAGTCCCAGGGTTCAATCTCCAGCATTGAAAGGAAAAAAAGACCCAGAAGAAAAATCAGAGGGGCAACCTAAGAACAGCCCAGGTGGGGGAAGAGGTAAGGAGCGAGGGGTGAAAGAAACCGGAGCATCAGGAGAGAGTGGCTCCTCACCGGCTGGAACTTTCCTTCTGCCATCATCTTGGTCCTGTTGACCTTCTCGGACCCTTCCTCACACCACCCACACTCCAGGACCAGACAGGGTGCTCTGGTACTGTCATTCTAACAGGAGAGGAGAGAGAAAGAGAATTCTTGGAAAATAATTAATCCTCAGAGGAAACCCTGAAAAAGTCATTTCTACCAATTTTAGATGCATTCTGGTATTCAGTGGGATTGCATTGCCATAGCAACCACTCTTCGATAACCACATAAGCAGGGGTTTTACAATAGTGAAATAATGAAGTATACAGCCCGAGAGTGGAGAACATTCCAGTGGAGTCCTTGGAAAGAGAGGCTCCATTTCTGAAGCATAATTCTGCACCTCGTCCGGTGTCATCTGCAGTGGAGAAACCATCTTACAACTGGAGATATTTATTTTATATGCACACTTATAATTATATATATATATATATATGTATATATGGCTGTAGCTGACAGGAAGCTTCATGTGAATTTGTGAATTCACAGTGTAAAGTGCTTGTCCAAAAAGCTCATGTGGTAGTAAGACATTTTTATTATAAAATAAAAGCCAAGTAAATTTTTTGAAAAACAGAAAGATGAAATTTAAAGCTGTCTATAATCCCATTCCCCAGGGATAGCAACTACTAGCATGTCTGTGTATAAATGTAAGAATAAGGGGCTTCAGGTAAGATACCTCAAAGGCCAGCAGACTAGACCATCATCACACAGTGGTACCTCGGTATTCTTCCGCGAAACCTCCTTCCTCTCTCTCCAAGTACTTTCCCATCTTCCAGGGCTTCTCCATGTGGTCTTTCTCAAGCCTGGACTTCCCACATGGCTGTCACAGCCCCAAGGGCATAAAATCAGAAGCAGCACTGTCAGGCCTTTTAAACACCAGGTTCAGAGATCCTAGAACAAAACTCTTTTCACATTCCCTGAGTTAAAACAGTCCCCAGCCTGACATAAATTCAGTGAACTGGAGGAATGGACCCCCCATGTCAGGGAGTAGCTCACAAGGGGGAGGAAAAAATGGACAGTCACCATCTTTCAGATACATCATCACTCCACATCATTCAGTACTCTCCAGAACCATGGCTTTTCATGGTTGCACAGATTTCTCTTGGACACACTTAAACTATTTTTGTTTAACCAAACTGGTGATTGCACGCTTAGGCTCCATTAACAAACTCACAGCGTCCAGTGGGACAAACAGACAGATGTCCACCTTCCTTCCTATCTGAATCAGACCTCTCTGGAGTGCCAAATTGATTTCTGGGAACTGTAGTTTACAATGGATACAGACAAATGAGAACTTGTCTGAGAAGTGCTGCTGGCACAGTGTAGACCTGCACGGCCTGACTATGGA